GGATGGTTCAGTGAGACAGAGGTTGAAGGCAGTAACTAAGAAGTAAGAGGACCTCAGCTCAAGACAGGGAGTTGTTAGGAAGGGAAAGATTTCAAGCTGGAAGGAATGACTGGAAGCATCAAAGTGGGGATGGTGAAGAGTATAAATGTGAAGTCCTGAAGGTCTGGGGACCTGCAGGTGATGATGTTGTTTTTGTAGAGGAAATGCAGATTGGACTGATGTGGATGGAGAATGGAGTTGGAGGTGAGAGAAAAGTAAGTGGAGGTCTGCGGGAAAGGCAAGTAGAGTACAAGTGGAAGAAGAGAAGAGAAATGGGGCCAGGGGGTTGGACTTGTATAGCAAGAAATGAGTTGTTGGTTTCAGTCTGGCTGTCATCGAATATACATTGCCCAAACATTTCTACAGTTGACATTATGTAGCTTTTTGTTAATATGCTCAGCAGAGAAGTCATGTACTAGATAGCTATTGTGATTGAATTATCTTCTTACCCTAGAGATGCCCCTGCCTGTTTAAGGTGGAAGAAGTCTGGTTGGGCATTCAGGGGAAATCTGCATGAGCTCTGTTCATGCTTTAGATAAGTGGTGTTCAAACTTTCTGCCTGGTGGGCTGGCAGGGCTATGCCCAGTCTGTTGGCAGGCCAGATCCTGGTGGTCTAGATCTGGCACCCAGATGGGGACACATCTGGCTGTGTGGAGGGTGGTGGGTGAGGAGACAGCCTGGCCCCAATCTGGCCACATAGGGGGAGAGGGCTTGGCCCAGCCCCAGCCCAGGGCATAACTTGACCCTGATCCAGACATGTGGGGGAACAATGCTTGGCCAAGCCCCAGCCCAGTCCTGTGGGTTGGGGGGGAAGTAGTATGATTTAGCTCCATTCTAGCTGCCTGGGAGGAGGGGGTATGGCCTAGATCTCATCCCAATGTGCGGGGGTAAGGGGTGCAACCCAGCTCCCATCCCATGTGGGGGGCTTGTTAGGGCTTTGCTACACAGTAATTTTGGATGGCTCCTTTTAACTCTTGGATTGTCCACACATCAACACGTGAAGCTGATTTTAAGTACTCATTATGCAACTCAAAGTTATGCCTCTCCAGGGCAGGGTTATCTCTGATCCGTGCTACCCAGCTCATGTTGCGCTAAGGTGTGGCCACTGTAGGCTATACCCTAGTGTAAACACCGTAGCAATCTCCTCCCACACTGGCCCAAATTGAGCCCACTCCCTCTTCACCCTTCCTAGCACCCCAGATCCCCACTTACTTCCCCCCCCCCCAGGCCCTGCTTGCTTGTGGCTGCCTGCACTGCCTGTCCCCGGGAGCAGGCAGGGAAGGCTTTAACTGTCTGCCTGGCCACCACGGCTGCTGCAGCTGCTGCACTCCAGGCCTGGTCCCCTGGGACAGACACTGTGGGCAGCCACATGTAAGTAATGCCTTGGGTGTGCATGGGGGGCAGGGGGTGGGTAGGAGGCAGGGGAACCCCAGGGGCAGGGGGGATGGGGGAGCCCCAGGGAGGGCAGGGGGCAAGCCTAGAATGGGGGCAGAGGATTTTACCTTTCAGTCCTCCATGCCCCTGCTGGCCTGGACATGCTCCTGTTCCAAGCTTGAGCTACCACTAACACCCATCAACATTTGTGCAGCTCTGTGTAACATAGGCCCTTAGTGACAGTGATAGACTACAGCCTATCATCCTGGCCGGTATGCTGGTGGGGAGTGCCATTGGTTTGTTGTCTCTTGTGTTAGTGTAAACTCTTTTAGACAAATTTGAAAATTAACAAAATTTATAAAATTTAAGGAATATCAAAAGTGCTATGTGGTGTATGGAGACAAGGACAGTGGGGCCCTGGGCAGTGACTTGGACTCCTTGGTGCTATGATAATGCAGTCCAGTAATAATAATAATAATCATCATCATCATATTATCCTAATGAGCCCAGCTAGTATATGAAGGAAGGTTCCTGTTTGGGAGAGCAGAGATGAGACATGGCCTGAAGAGTGATTTGCACTTTGATGGTTTGCCTAGACTTGCAGGAAGGGAAGGGCTTTTGTTTATGTCCCAGAGAAAGGCAAAATTGTTATTTGGCTTTCCTTTATATCCTGGGAAGGTTGAATACCTGTTCTGGGTTTTTGGTTTCATGGAAGCCTTGCATCACAGAATAGAAGGGATCTCAAGAGGTCATGTAGTCCAACTGCCGGTGCAAGTTCATCCACGTTTAAACTACAGTAGTCGAGTGTCTTGAGGAAGTGGAACTTAGGTTCCTGGGGAGAGCCCCCACTGTGATGGTATGTGCTGTACCACGTATTTCAAACATGTGTTATCTCTGTACATCTGTTAATAGTTGTAAATATGTATGCATTGTAACAGGTGTAAATATTTTAATAGAAAACATTCTAGCAGACAACTTGCAAAAATATGTAGCATAGTTCCTACATCCTGTAGGACCAATAAAACGTGTGACAATGTACTGCAAGTATCTTCCTCAATAGTTCTAGACACCAGATAGAGGTTCAGCTATATATAATCAATAGTAAAACCTGTCCCCATGTGAGTGCAGTTAGCTCTTCACTGATCAAGCAAAGAAAATCAAACAAAATAGAAAAGATCTCATATCTCTTAGCCTTTACTGAAATTCTTTATATAGAGAGGAAACCCATAATGTGTGCTATTCCTATGTGCAGCTAGGCTATCCCAATTAATTTGGACCTTAAGAAACTTTTTTAGTGTACTTCACTTACAGCGCACACTGCAAGGGACAAATCTGTGTCAGAACAGTTTATTGTGTTTTTGTACCAACTAATATCAACCAGCATCCCTGCCCATGGCAGTAAACTTGTATGTGGTGCTATGAGGAGAAACACCAGTAAAACCCCACCAAAACCTCCCCTCTGAATATTCCCATTGAACCACCTTGTGAGGACTGTTTTGCTAATTGTATATGGTTGCTAGTAGAAAATAAAACAAGTATGTGATGGTGAGGAAAACACCTGAAGCTGTGTATTCAGATCCTTATCCCAAATCTCGCTGAACTCAACAGAAAGACGGTCCCTACAGTGGGAGTTGTATTAGGCTCTTATTCAACATGGGAATGAATTGGTGAGCTCCAGCTCTCTGATGTGGCCAGATTCTAAAGCCAAATGCAGCCTTGCGTGTGTGTTTCTTATGTTTGCTTGTTAACAATCGATAGTGAAAAACACACTATTATAGCTATTAGTGTAACTGGTTGACCTTATTTCACATGGAGAAACTTTGTATTGAAAAATGAAATTTAATTGAAACTTTTCCCCCCTATATAAACTACTTTTTTGTTTCACAGTGACTTAGCATTCGTTTAATTTCATGTTTTGGAAACATCTATTCTCCTTTTTATTCATTCTTTGGTTTCTGCATTTTATTTCATTTCTCTCACTTCCCTTTTTGTTTCTTTTACTTTCCACTAGCACAGGGAAGAAATGACTTGAAAAGTGTGAGGAAAAACATTTCTGTTTGTTGTTTTCCACATGGGAAAATTCAGGAAACCATTACAAAAGAGTGAGCTAGTATCTTTTCTTAGTTTCTTACCCTTTAAAAATTTTCCCTTCATTACTGGCAAAGGTAAAGAAAGTAAAAAACAGAAGAGCACCATCATCGCTCTGAAATCCACCCAAAGGTGGTGGAATACTCTAATTTTGTGGTGGATCAAATATTTATATGAAATATGTTAAGACAGAATTAAAATATAAAATTAATTTTGGTTCAAAATGTCATGTATATGGGAAATGATTCCATTTTTGACTAGTTACAGCTAAAGGTGTCTGTCACAAGTTATTTGATAAACCTGGGTTGTCTCTTGCTCTCACTGAAGTTAATAAGGATTTTTCTATTAAGTTCAATGGCAACAGGATTAAGCTCCTGTAACATTCTTGATCTTACCATACTTCCAGTCCATCCTACAGAATTACTCACTGACATTTTCAAATATGTTCTGATAAACTATTTTTATGAGGAAACTTGGGAATCAAATCATGCTCTACAACCCTCTCTAGTCAGCAAATCTTTTTAGGCCTCCGATTGTCAAATTCCAGTTGTACTTATTAGATAAGCACAAAACATCCCTTTCTATATTGTGCGTCTGACCTTCTCTTTTTCTTGTAGCTTATGATAGAGGGGGAAAAGAAGACCTCAGTTTTCTTTTAAATCAAAACAGAGACCTGAATATAGATGTGCATCATAAAATTTCTCTGTAGTCTCCGCATTGGCTGTCTCTGTGTTATCCAGGGTTCCCACCTTTCCTCAAACTAGCACTCTCATTTACATTTTCACTCATGACAACACAGACTGATATTTCTTGATAGCCAATTTTGTAATCACTCAAAAGTGAGGACACAGTATATACAGATGGAAAAAAATTTTTTTGGATATATATTTTATTTGACAGTGGTTTAGAATATCATACAGTAAACAAGATTTCTGTAAAAGTTAATTTATCCATAGTGGTGCGTTTCATAAAAATAGTTGCTCACTTACAGCCTTTCTGTGACTATTAATACATGGAATTATATTTATAGAGATAGAGCTGTACAGGGTAAATTCACAGCTAACACTACACAGAAATATTATTTGGAATGGGGTTTAGATGATGTGCTGTCTTCACAGGTTATCGATTACAGCCGCATAAAGCAATTGCTGCACAAGGAGTAGCTGCGAACTGTGCAAATCAGAGTTTATGCAAGCATAATCTCAACTGTTTCTCAGGTTTTATTGTTTGCTTTCCTTACACATAGAAAATAAGATATTGGGGCGTGCACCTACACTACAGAAGCACTGTTCAAAACCAGATTCAATAAATTAATGGCAAATTATACTGAATTTCTAGTTCAGGGGATAAAGATTTTTTTTAATTAAATAAAAATTGGGTAAACAGCTACGTGGGTTTGTGCTTTTTTAAAAATTATAATTGATGTTTTCTAAAAAAAGGTATATAAAAGCTGCAAAATCCTTTATTGGAGGCTTTTCAAACACTCTGATAGGAAAAAAAAACCATGCCCACATACTTGTAAGAAGAGAATGAAACTGAGTATCTCAGTCTAGAGCAATATTTTAGAGCGATAGTAGGGTACTAACCTATTGGAACAATGCTAATCTCAAATGTGACTCTTCTGGAGAGAGCACATGCAGAACAGTTGATACCTAACTTTAAAATATATACTTTTCTGAGAATATTTATCTTCCTGATTTTTTTTTTAACAACCAGTGTATTATTGCCCATGGCTTTTTTGGCACACAACGAACAAACCCTACAGTAACTTACCAGGGACAAGACGGTGCTGACGGCACATGGAGTCTTATGAAGGCAGACTGGAAAGTTAAGCATTAGTACTTAAGGCTTGAAATTCAAGACAGGGAAGCAAGTAGGATAAAAATAAAAATGCGGGGCAAAAAGGGAAGAAATGCTAGCAGAGGCATTTCCATACTACAAACGAGGACACTTGAGCATCTGTCTCAGAAACAAGTTTTGTTTGGGTGAATGTTTGCCTTAGTAGCATCTGTTCTGTCAAAGTGAAGAAGAAGAATTTAAAGTCTTTAAAAATAACTGCAATATAGCACTCTAGCAAAGTCACCATATTCTGCAAGAGAGAAAGGCCTTTTTTCAAGGAAGCTGCAGCTTTTTTTTCTTTTAAGAATCATCTTTCCATTACAAGGATCTTGTTAGTGTCTCAGTTTTGAGCTTGCCCAATTAAGATTGTGTGCTACATGCAATATTAGGGGAACCTGTGATAAACGGTTTCCGAGGACAATTTGCAAATACAACTCCACCCTAACTCCTTTCCAATGTACAGAAATATGATTTGTTCACAAAAATGGCAGTAGAAATGGTATCACAGCAACTAATCCACTAGATTCCCCAACTCCTCCTGTAGCACCCAGTGAACTATGCTACTGGGTATCATGTGGATTATCCCAAAGTGTTAACAGTGGAGACATATCATGAGTGTACAGTTCCAAATGCTTCAGAGAAACCCTTTAACCCCTGTCTAGATATGTTGAGAACAATTTATTTACAACATTTTAGCTCAGTTAAAAGATCCTTTCTCAGTTTCAGCTTGCTCCGTGCAGTTTTTATTTAAGGCGATGTTCCAGTTTGTGATTGCTCTAACTTGTTCCAGTTTCTTGATATAAAGTTTGAATGAAATCCAAGTCCTTCATGCAGTGGAAAAAATACTAAAGCTACACTGCACCATTCTTCTCTGATGTACTGTCCGTCATAATGTTTTGGTTTCTTCCATAGCTGCCAAAGTCCCTAAAATGGAACTGGGGACTTTAGGGTCAGTTTTAAATCTCCATGTTGACTATATGCTGTTTGAGCTTATTAGACACTGTGCACATTGTCATGGAATTACACATTAATGTTTTCATTCCTCAATGCTTTGTGTGTATGCGTGATAGTTAAAATAAATTAAAATAAATCAATGTGAGACAGAAGCTAAGAAGAATGTTCTGCGTCAATGTGAAACAGTTAGAGGGCAACAGTCACTTATTTATCTGCTCATGGCAGAAGTGCCAGACTTTAGTACGCTAGGTAGCTTATCAGATCCGGGAATTTTCCATGGTCCTGGTGAGACGGTTGCCTTCCGAACTGTAGTGTTGGTGCTACGAGTGTTAATGGAATGAAGATATCCCTTCCTCGGGAACTCACTGGGTTTCCCATCAGGGTCCCTCTGGTTGTGGTCCATATCGCTTCCATATGAGCTACAGCTATTGCTACCGTACGTTTTTGTAGCACCACCTGAGTCAAGCCTGACATGTTCAGAAGCTGCAGCTGGTTTCTTCTCAGTGGTACTGGAGGATCTGTGATCTTCTTTTGCACTTAGAGATCCCCCTCTCTTGCTTTCTGACTTCTTCAGTCTCCCGACCTGTTCGTCACTGGTCCCAGCACACACATGCTCTCTTGCTCCAGCTTCGACCACAGTGCTCTGTCCCACAGCTTTACTTTCAGAGGTGGACCTGCCACCATCAGGGGTCCTGTTTTTGCCTTCTAAATATCCCTTCCTAGAAGCCTCTTCATGCTTTGACCTGTCTATCTTTTTAGGACTTGCTGACCTTTCTCTTTGCTCTCCTACCCTTTTCTTTTTGTGACCATTTGCCAAAAGCTCCTTTGGTTTTCTTACATCATGTTCCCTCTTGATATCCCATGTTGGCTCTGGGTTTATCTGATGGGAAGGGTCAGAAGGTGGGGCTAGATGTGATGAAGATAATGGTGAGATTATGTCATCAAGGGAAATAGCTACTTCCGGCAGACCTGGGGAGGTGGCAGAGGGAGAACTCCAGGAGTTTGGTTCGTCTGTCATAACAACAAAGAAAAGGTAGTTAAGGAATTATTTACACAATTGGCAATACTTAATTTTTTTCAAACAGCATGCAACAGCTAAAATCCATATTGGATGTCAGTGTGGCAGTTTTTACTTAAGCAAAATTCTAGTTGAAGAAAGAAGGGCAAAAATAAAATCAGTGGGAATTTTGGATGAGTGAGAACTGCAGAAGTTGGCACAGTGCAACTACTGAAAATATCTGTCTCTGACATAAGTTAATTTTTTCTTTGCCTTTATTAAATAGTGAAAAATTAGTAGTGAAAAATAAAATACATTTTTATATCATTATAACAGCTTTGTTATTTGGCAATATCAACGCTGTCTCAAAAGACAAACGTGAAGGCTGATCTTCCATCTAGTATACATGTCCTTACAAGCATAAAATAACCAGCACGGATTTGTAGCCCAGATTAGGTCATCCATCAAATTAGCTGCTTTCACCTAGATGTTAAATTGCAGTATTTAGGGACCTAAAATTATGCCTGATGTGAAGGCATGCAGACTGGGGGAAATCTTGGCCATTAATTTTGAATTTGTCTCAGTTACTCAATTCCAACAGCATTTGGTTAGAATGTGTAGATCCAATTTCCTTAAGATACAGGGGTACATCCTGCACTGACACACACAGAGGGTGGGATGAATTGTGTTTATCTCCATCTCCAAAATACTGAGAAGTCCAATATTCCAATCCTTTGCTTTCACGAGTAGTCACTGCCTTTTGTTTGAACTCCTGTTAAGGGGCATTCGTTCTGAGACGTTAGTTTTGAAGACTCATTGTGACTGTTGGCAGTCCGTCTCCTATTTGTATCCCTACCCTTTAACTATGAAGCCAGAGCAGCCTCTCAGATTGGTAAATGCTTTTCTGTAATTATTCTTGTTAGGTGGCTGTATGTACAAAGATTCACATGCTGCCAAAGATAAAGGGATATTGCAAGGATCCACTTAAATGAGGTGGAGTAAATAGCAAGAAACAGCATGTTTCAAGAAGGAGAAAATATTACTTTCTAACTGAGGGAGTTAGCTGGGCTTCTATGGGACAGCACTGATTGGTCTGAGCTGTTCTGAAAAAACCACACAGTGGGTGCATCGACATGAAACACTTTACTGCATGGCAGAGCTAATTATTCTAATCTACACATGCAGATGCTTACTGTGCAGTAATTGGCTCTAATCATGAGTAAATTTGCTACCTGCAAATGCAAGTAGCAAATTTACTCGAGATTAGTAACTGTGCAGTAGCACATGTGTAGACCCTTGACCGGGAGCAAATGTACTCCCAGTTAGCCAGGCAGCAGGGGGCGGCAGCAGGTGGGAGATTTCTTTCTGCCCTGGGAGCTGCCTGCTGCCGGGGTGTGGGGACAATGTCCCCTGGCTCCAGCAGCAGGCAGCTCCCATCTCCTGCTCCACGACAACGGGGCCGGGGCTGGGAGACCTGTATCTCCTAGCCCAAGCCCTGTGGTGGCAGAACCTTGGCTGGGAGATCCTTATCTCCCAGTGCCACCTCCGCAGTCACAGGCCTAGGGCTGGAAGATCCTTATTTCCCTGCCCGAGCCCTGGGGTGGCAGAACCCAGGCTGGGAGATACTTATCTCTGTGCCAGCTCTGTGATCATGGGGCCAGGGCTGCAAGATCCTTATCTCCTAAATAAAATGCACACACACACACACCCAGTTTGTTTTTCTTGAAAAAATCTATGGCAAATTCCAAATTAACATGAGGATGCACATTATTTTGGAAAATTCAATGTCCTTTTCTTAATAATTTAGGTCATCCTCAGCTGAGGCTGTACAGTTAAGCTAATGACTTGACTGTGTATTTTGCAGATAAAAATAGCAGAGCCGATAGTGAGGTGAGTGATGTAATGAGTATGAGCAGCATGATTATCTGAGGAGCTATTTATTTTACCAGATGGTGCCAGTTATGTGCTTAAACATAATGAACATATGTGTGAGGAAAAAAAATAGATACTGAAAAAGGAAAAGTGCAAGTTCTGTGCAAGATAAATAAACTTTGGGCTTGAAACTTATCTGGGCTGAGGGTCTTGATTAAATTACAAAAAGACCCAGCACTTTCTTACCCTCTACTTAAGGTTGTGCAATATACCATCTGCTCCATGGTTGGTACTTGAGCAAGAAAAAAATAAAAACAAGGATTAACTTTTTGTGCTTCTTGACTCTTGTGAATTTGCCTATGAAAAGCAGGTGCTGTAAAGGCATGCTGTCCACTTCCACATATCTCCGGGCTCATTTGTTTTCTTAATTCTGCTGTGCAAAACTGGTAGAGTAAGGAGAGGCTTTAAGAAGGAGGAGGAGAAAAGCACACTCTTAGCCTGAGAAGACCTGAAGCCTACTGGACCCTGTTATACCTAAATATGTCACTGAGCTTTATTTCTGGAGTCAAAAACATTTCTGAATTATTCTACTGCAAAACTGGTGGGTCTAGACTACAGGTTGCTTTGCAATGCAAGGATATCTGAAATAGCTGTGAATGAGCTGACTCAGGTATTGCAGGTAACTTATTTGGGTGACACAGAGCTCAGCATGGTAAAACGTAGCCCAAATCAAATTATGCAAATCATAGGATCACAGAAAACTAGGGTTGGAAGGGATCTCAGGAGGTCACATCTAGTCCAACCCCCTGTTCAAAGCAGGCCCATGCCCAACTAGATCATCCCAGTTTTTAAGAGCTGGGTCTTAAAAACCTCCAAGGATGGAGATTCCACCACCTCTCTGGGTAACCTGTTCCAGTGCTTTACTACCCGCTTAGTGAGGAAGTTTCTCCTAATATCTAACCTGTATCGCCTCATGCTGAGCTATTTGCTGCTGCTTCTGACACTGAAAGTAATTCATTTACAAGTAGCGTGGGGACCTCTACATTATAGTCTGCAGCTTAGACGCACCCTACGACTTGAGGTGTTAACCCTATGCTTGCTTTCTTCTTATTATACCATATATTTGTCTGAAGCAATTTCTTCCTTGAAGGATTAATGGAACAGACTTTCAAATGAAGATCATATCTGCCAAACTCACATCAGAATTAGCTTTTGAAAAACTAAATGTCTGTTTCTGTCCTCATTTAACACCAGTCATGTAACGTGGGGTGGGCAAGTGGGACACCTGCCCTGGGTGCCACCTAAGGGGAAGGGTGCTAGAATGATGTAGGGTCGGGGGGAGGATGGCCTTCAGGGCAACTTGCTGCTGTTTACCTTGACTACTGCCCTGCTTTGCTTTGCTGGCACTTTGTGAATCCAGGAAGCTGCTGGCACAGGCAATGGGTATCATTGACTGCAAGGCATTGTTGGAAGGGTAGTTTTGTAGAATAGCAGTGCAGTTTGCTGTTGGGTTGGGGTGGGGATTGACCCCCCCTTTTTTTACAGCTGAATTCAGCATTTTTTCCCCTTTCTGGACATGGGCTTCAGTGCTAAAATGGGTGAAAACTCCCCTCCCCTCCAAGCAACAGCAAACTCCACTGCCAGTCTAGAGAACTACAATTCCCAGAACACCTTGCACTTTGTGATGCACATTGCCCAGCTCTCTGCTCTGTTCCTGATTGAGGAGGTAGGAGGAAGGGAGGGCAGGGAAGGGTGAGATGGTTACCTAGGGTGCGTTCTTTCCACACTATGCTTCTGTTTAACACCCATACAAAACCTCTATAACCGGCTATGAGAGTAGAAAAGACACAAGTACAGGCAAAAGAAACAACTAGAATACCTATTGCAACTCTAACATAAACGCCTTGCCCCTAGGTTAGTGGGCTCCTGAGCTTGTGTTTGACTGACATAAACAAACTTACTATATTATTTTTTCTACAGTTTCCTGTGATGTGATTGTTTTATGCTGAATAGAACTAGAATCTAATGAGCCATTCTTGATGCCCAAATCTCATGCGAGATCAGTGATATCAGAGTAGCCTATTACTGGGTACATCTACACATGCACTTTACTGCAGAGTAGACTAATTAGCTCCACAAAGCATCACAGTCTACATGTGTGCTAATGTTAGGACACAGTAGATACATTAACTTCACTGGAGATGGGATTATCTTATGATGGAGTAATTACATGCAATTAAATGTATGTGTAGACTGTGACAGGGGCTGCTTGGGGCAGGAGGGTGCTAAAGTACAGGTGCTGCCTGCTGGCTAGCCCTGCACTGTAGCATCCTTGTGCCCCAGCCAGCCCCTGTTACCCAACGCCACCAATTGGAGCCTGGGGCTGACTCCCTGGGCCTCTGGTAGTCCAGGGCCACTCCATCCCAGCTTGAACTTCTGCAGTCCTGGGTGCACATGTAAATGCTCTTCCCGGAAGCAGTTTTCTCTGGTGAGTACCATGCTGGAGCTTGTCACTCCAGCTTAATTACATGTGTAGATGCACTTACTTTTGGGAACATCAGCTGCCTATAGATGTGCTCCTTCACATTCTAATTAGAAAGCATCAAATCTATTAATCGAGTCTGCGCTGCATTCTAATTAGAACAGTCCAGCATCTCCTCACCGTCACATGTCGTAATCCCCTACACATTTCAAACTGGCTTCAGGGGCACTTTATTCAAACCTCTATAAATGAACTTTAGATAAAGCATCCCATGGCCATTTTGAAACTCTGTGGGGCTTAATACACATGATGGTGTCCCATTTTAATTACGGCAACTGCCCAGGAACTGCTCTAATTTAAACGTTCTGCCCCCGAGCACATGTATAGGCAGCCAGCAATTCCAATGCTGTAAATAGGACCAGCAAAATCCGGTGACCTGATCTAGTCACTACAAACTAAGAATGTGCCAGCACCCTGAAAATTAATTAGCCCTCATCTGAGCCGGCAGAAGATTGAATCCCACTTACTTATCAACCTTTGACTAATAGACTGGACCAGAGTGGGGAGTGGGCTCTGAAAACAACAGAGTTGTATAGGATCCTGCACTCGGAAAGTGCCTGAAGATGATTTGGAAACAACTTGTGATGCCCCCAAAAACCC